TTTATTCATTCAACTTCTGTTTATTCTGAACGGTAAATATATACTTATAATTTACATGTATAATGATTATTTACTTTTATGTATTGAAGTTTTATTTGGTATCAAATGTTCTTTAAATATTTTTTATAATTTTGTTGAATACAATATAATTTTTATTTTTATTAAATTATAAAAGAAAATTTATCGTGAAAATTGTTAAAATATCTCAATTATTAAAGATTTAATTTATTAATAAGTATATATTAATAAATAATCAATTAAAAAATTATATTTTATTCTGATTTACATTTGAATAGATTTGCAGATAAACAATTGCGACTTTTACGGTTGAAAGCTGCCAGAGCTCAATTAGAAGAAAAATGTGTAAAAGCTCTTGAAAAATATAAACAAAGGGATAAATTGGTATTTTATATTTTTATTTTATACTTAATGCTTTAAATTTAATAATTGTTAAAGAAAGATATATAAATTTTTATAATGCTATATTGTTATTATTATATTTAATTATCCTTTGGATTTATAGATATGTGATATAAATACTTGCAAAGAGAGAGTTAGACTACTTCAATCATTAGTAAATGAAACAAGACAAAGTATAAACAGAGGTATATTTCTATTAATATTTTTAATATTTAGAAAATAGGTACATTTAAAGAAATTTAATAATGTATAGGTAATCAACGTTTAAATGTTCTCAAAGATGTAAACTCTCAATTAGCTCTTAGATTACCTAGACATGAAGAACGAATTGAAAAATTACATCGATATGTAACTGGTTTAAGAGCAAAACAAGAAAAACAAAAAGAAGCAGTAGATAGGAAAAGGCAGCAGTTGAAAAAAGTCATTAGAACTGCTGCAAAACAATTGATTCAGTATATTTTTCCATTATCGAAAGTGCAACCTAATAGAAGGTAATAATTAATTAACTTATCTTTAAAAATTATTATATTTATAGAATATTAATTAAAATATTTATTAAGAAATATTTTTTACTTGTTTTTAGTTTATGTAGTAGTGAGGAAGATACTAGTTCAGATGTAACTTGTGCACTAGCAGATGCATCTGGAACATCATATGTTAGAGGCAGATGGATTAATGATACAGAAAATGCTTTAGAAGTTCAGCATCGTATAATTGCACCAACTTTACCAGGAAGCGGAGATTATAGTGCTTATTCTTTATGGGGTATAAATTATTTGATTCATATTTTTTTTTAATGAATTATATGATTTATATAAATATCAAGCATATTTTTTAGTGGCAGCAAACAAAGATGGGGTCCCAGGTGCAAATAAAGAGACTGCAATGCACAATCCAGCATACAATATCAGTGCTGCTTTAACATATGCAACACAGTTGGTTAATATTATTGCTTATTACGTTAATGTAAGATTACCATATAAGCTTGCTTATGGGTATGTGAAAAATGTTTCACTTTTTTTATGCAAATGCATTAAATATTGAAATAAAAATAAAATAGTTATTTAAATTTAATTTTTAAACATTTCTAGAGAATTTTGTGGAAATGAAATGTCAGATCAAAAATTTGCCAAAAAGGTAGCAAGGCTCAATAGTAATGTATTACATTTATGTTTTACACAAAATACTAAAATTGCAGTTTTACATCCAATGCATACTTTACAAAACTTAATGCACTTGCTCAATACTGAAATTAGTGATCTTGGAAGGTATATATTTATTTATTATTATTGTTATAACACATTGAATATAAACATATAACAATTATATATTGAAACAGAATTGGTCCAATGGAAGTAGATTCAAATATTGTAGCAAAATTGCACAGTCAATTAGTTCCCGATTTAGAAAATAGTGATGATTCTGCTTCTGATGAAGAAGAAGATACTTTTAATTGGGATTGGGAAGCTGTGAGTTTTATTTTATTTATTTATTAATAAATGATTATTATATAATATAATATTTTAACGCATTATATAAATATTTTATTTTTATTAGGTTCCAAATGTTGCTTGTCCTGAAATGGTAGTTCCCATCCCTGGTGCAATGATTAGTCAACAATCATCTAGTATGCAAGTAAATCAAAGTGTTGCTGGAGGTTTAGTTACGAGTGCAGCAGCTAGTATAGCTTCCATTTGGCGTGGTTGGACGACAAATAAATAGACTGTTCTATTTAAATAACAAATCTCTTTTTATACAAATCGTATTTACATATGTGAAAACATATGTAAGAAAAGACAAGAAATTGATAATCCTTTGTAAAATGTAAAACACTAAGTTGAGGGATGAATGTTTAAAAATATAATGTACTGTAAATATGAATTTATTACTTATTACATATAATACATGAAATAGTTTAATTTCGTGATAACAAATTTTGTAAGATTTGACGATTTAGTTTATTTTAAACTATTTATGCAATATATACTGATTTGTGCTATTACTTGTAATATAATTCCAAATATTTTTAGGACGCTCATAATAGATCGTAATTCTATGGTACAAATTTTGTAAGTGTACAAACAAATGTTTGAACACACATACACACATACAAACAAACGCAAACATTTTCAATAATTGTTTAATACGAATTCATTATTAAGATGTGAGTTTAAAACGACTGCCTTTTTTATACTCACTGCACTTCGTGTAATTATGTATTTGTTAACATATACATAAAATACTTCCTCGCATTAATAGTGTCATTATTATCATTATATTATCTATGTATTTTTAAGTTATCAAACAGTTCTAATATAACATTTTAAGCTAAATAATATTTTGGTTATAAAATATATACAATTAGATAAATTAAAAAATTTGTTATTTAAAACTATTTAAATATGTTTTTTAAACGGTATAATGTTTCTGATAAAAAAATCATATCTTAAAAATGTTATCATTTTTGTATAGATATGATTATATCATATTTCACATATATTTTTGATTATATGTCAAAGAATATATCTTGTTAAACACTTCATATCTGACAATATATAATATGAATGTAAAAAAGGTTGTATTGGATTAATGACTTTTAATTTAAGTTAAAATTAAGAATAACATGTATAACATTAAAACAAATTTTGTATTTGATGTGTTGTTATATTATGTAAATCTAGCAAAAAATAAAAAAAAATATAACTTGTAATTATTATATTTAAGCACAAATTCACCGACATAATATAATTACACCATTGTATTTTTTTTTTTTAAATAAGTATTGTATTAATTGTATTAAATTACCTATATTTTCTTAATTAAATATTTCTTTTTGTAAAATTAAAATCATTAACTATTTGGTATGCATAAATTATATAAAATATATTTATAAGATCTTTGGAAAATCAATTCTAAAAATCAAATATAAAAAAACATATACAAAAATAACAAATATAAAAATTGATATGCAAAAATATTGAAGTTTATTTATTAAATTACGTATAATTGAAATTTGAGGTAAATGAAAAAACAGATATAGAATTATTTTATTCTATTTTTATTATATTATCATTTCGCTCTATCTTTGCTTGGCATCTTCTAATATAAACTTAAATTATTTATAAATAATTTTCAATCATATTTCAATATTTTTATATACCAATTTTTATATTATTTATTTATATCTTGTATATATACATATAAAT